AATAAATAAATAAACGTATGCAAAAAGAACAACATTCAATAGTGTTCTGGTTCTCACTTTATTTTTTTCGTTCTATACTTCGAATATTTGAATAAAACATAATGATAATCGATGTTAGAGTAGAAAAATATTCAACTTTATTACTTGATTAAAAACTTCAAACACCTGCAAATTGGAAATGACAGTCTACATGATTCGATCGCTCAAAAACTGGCCCCCATTTTCAAGACTTGCTAAAAGTGTATGAGAAAAAACATTAGTGATCTAAAATGTAAGGTTTCCTCACCACTTCTCCATAGTGCGTGGGAATGCATTTTACCCAAGTTCGTTCCTCTCGGCCACTATGTTTTTTTCCCGTTCTGTTTTTCCTCTTTTTCTCTCTTGGCCACTGTGGATTTTTCAGTTTTGTTTCTCTCCTTTATTTTTCCATTTTTCTTTTGAAACTTCAGGGTTTTTATTTCAAGGCACCTTTGTTCTCATTCTGGCAAGTCTTGAAAATGAGCGTCTGTTTTTGAGCGCTTGAAACATGTCGACTGTTATTTCTGAGTTGTATATTTTTGACGCAAATCAAGTTTTTTTCTTACCGCTTCAGCTTGTTGGGATAATTTATTTAGTTGTTGCTGTTGCTTATCCGCATAGATCTGACATTAGTCAGATCAACTCCAAAAAGTTGTTGACAGCCAGAAAGTCGATGACAAGAAGGGGATCGGAAGTTAAATCCACCCTGGATAGTCCGACACAATCAAGTATATGTTTCGGAGAGGCTGGATGGACACAGCAATTTTTACAAGTCGGGTAAATTTTTCTGCCACGTTCGAATGTTAGACATTTTAGGCGGCCAGTTCAGAATCTGGCCAAGGCAGTCTGGGAGCTTCGATTGCAATTCATTCTCAGAAGGGTGCCAGGAGATGTTGCGGTGTACCATTTGTGGGTAGGTGGAGTTTGCCAGAATTAGTTGACTCAAAAGTAAGGTATAAAACAAAGAAATGAAACGAATTAAATTAATTGAAATAAATCAATATATATAAAGAAACTTACAAATTATTGCTGCAAAAAGTTATTGCAGGTGTAATAATTTCATATGGGCTGCTTTCTTCAAGGCTAGTTGTAGTTGGAAATGTCCAATAAAATGTTAAAAATTCATTTGTCTGATACAAAAACCCTCCTGAGCAAATTAAGAAAACAAGTAATTTCCACATCGCTTTCTTCCATGATTGAGCAACAGTAGCAACTTGGGACAAAACTCTAGCGAGAAAATCCATAAGCAAAGTTTTACAATATTTTCTAAACGACACCTTCGCCTTTAAATGTTTTTCAGTTTCCAGCAGATGTGAATCCATAAGAAAATCCTAGATGAGACGAATAAAGATTGGAGAAGTTTTTTGGTTGTCAATGCAAGTGAAATAATTAAAAAGCAGGAATACTTAAGAAGCATTACTTAATTTGATAACAAAGTCAGCTGCGCAAGTTTACCAGGCCTGCCAATACTACGGTTTTTGCAAGATATTTTATAGAGTGGTAGACAGTTAAAAACCTAAGCTTTCAGAACTTTTAAATATTTTGCCAACATTTAAGAGCCTTGAAGAGCTGTATTAAAATGGTGTTGCATATGAACTTTTAAGTCATTTATCGGCAGTGGTGCGGTGAGCAAATTTAAAGGAATAAAGCATAATACATTAAAGCTTAAACATAGCTATCCCTAGCATAAATTTTTACAAAAAGCATAGAAAGTTGGCAGCTCTGATAGGCAAAAGAGTGTATTTGAAAAAAAACACATATACTTTTTTCTAATCCAGAAACTTGTTCAACAATCATATCTATTTTATGAGTGCAGCTGCAAAACTAATTAAAGAGAGGCTTGAGTTATTTTTTATCTTAAATATGCGATACCTTTTTCGATGTAGCCGTAAATTCTTCTGATATTACACGTATTCTTCGCTTATGCATCACATCATCAGGCATTTCGTTGGATAACATTCCTGAATACTGTAAACAAAATTTGACGATAAAAGATATTTAGAAATTTTATGATCATTACAAAAGTTAAAAAAAAAGAACTATTGAAATTTTTATACTTATGTAAAAAAAAATCGAAAATATATATATATATGGAAAAGATAGTTATAGCAATTAAGTTCAATTGTAAAGCCCGAAGGCTGAGCAATATTGCTTCGTGGTCCCATGCCACAGTTCTGATGTTCGATCCTAGGACTCGACAAAGTTGACATGGATTTTCATTCCTTTAGTAGGTCTAAAAATATGAGTACCGAGCATGCTTGATGACTAAACACTAAGGGTTCCGCTTTAGTTTAACCTTCCTAACGGAATATTTGTTTCTCTACCTCAGAGTTCAAGATCAAGAAAAACTGTGATGGACACAGTAGGCTATGGTCTCCTTTGAGCTGTTACGCCACTCATTCTTTGAGTGATGCTCTTTACTTTAACTGTATCGTAAATAAAAACTTTTCTTTTCATTTATCTATCTACCTTATTAGGAGTTATTGACCTTAAACATATACTATAAATAGGAAAATATAATAAGAATAAGCAAAAAATTAATTGGATTTTAGGATAAAAATAGGTAGAGAGATTAGAATTTAGATTAAAATTTTAAAAAAAGCAGCAATATTTGAAAATGATCTTGTTAATAATCTAATAACACTCTATATTTTACTTATTAGTTTATCAAATATTTAAATTAAAGGATTTATTTAGAAGGAATAATTTCATCCTTTAAATGAATTTTACAAACTGTTAAAAAATCTTCTATTTTTGGTCAATACATGATAAGTGAATAAAACTAGTCAATAGCAATTAAGTGCAAATATTGGTACAAAAATGCACATGCTATAGATTCGTTGCTTCAAAATCCTTAATACTTGGCGGAGCACAAAATTTCTGGAAAAAAAGAGACAAACAATCTGCAACACGAAAAAAAAAATAGTTAAATCACCAGAAGAAGAGGAACAAGCTCAAAAAAGATAAACAAATAAAAGAAGTTAGGCAACATGCAAGTGTGTGGAAGTCGGGTGAGAAACCCACATGTATAGATTATAGAACAATAGAGAAGAATGAAACAGTGTGAAGACCAATTATTAGAAAAACTAAATCATTAGACATTTCCAGAGCATGAAATAATTTCCAGAAATCAAGGTCAAATCAAATTATGAATTATTTCAGCTGTAGAAAGCTCATACCTATGATTAGAATTCCAATTATGTATCGTGATCGTTTAATATCCTCTTTTGATTATGACGTATGTATTTCATGTTCACCGAGTCGAAGTTAAAGAACGACTTACGTTTTTCCAATATACAATACCACATATATTGAAGTATTAACAATAGGGCCTTTAGAGTTATGTAATTTAATTTATTTTCAGGGGGCGGGGAAACGACATTAAACTCAAATTATTTAAAAACTTTGCAATTTGGGAAATGATTCTGAGATAATAAGGTAGAACAATCAAATTTTGAAAGTTCGAATTAAAGAGTTTGTTGGTTTGTGGATAAAACTGTTCCATCGATATGTCCCAGGAAAATTAACGGCGTAAGTAAAAGCCACTGGGAAAAAGGGAAATTATTTTATTAACGGATAACATCAAATCTAACAATTAATTCTGATGACAACTTATGCAATTTAGGCTTAATATAGTTATTTAAAAGGTAAAACTTTTTCTTAAAAAAAATATCCATTAACTTTTTTTATTAGAAAAAATATCAGATATATCGTGACTCAGCTAATGCTGCCTTTAGTTCGATGCAAAAGTATTGACATTTAAAAATACATCAATTATGATGTCACGCAAAAAAATTAATATCCAGCATGAATTGCTAAGTAGTCTCAAAAATTAAAATCAATTCCATTGAAATCACTATGCTAATTACGATTCTAGTTATAATACATTTATTTAACTATAATATAAGTTTTTATAAATTTCGTTTTACTTATATATGACTCTTCAAAAATTGTGACATTCAGGAAGAGTAACTTATGGTTCAGTTAATAACATTTCATACCTGCCAACTTTCACACATTTGAAGTAAACGTTTATTTCTATATTTAAAGTGGTAGTAAAATGTATGCTTGCGATATATTCCTTGCATTTATAAATCTAATTTATAACCTTTTTGAAGACCACTATTTTTAAAAAATTTAAGCAAAAATGTTAATATGTAATACTGTTACATACCAGCGAACTCTTCCGGATTTTCACAAAGATTTTATTTTCATATTTAAAGTGGTAACAATACTCGGGTTATTCCAATTAACTTTTTGAATTATAATGAAAATTATAAATGAGTTTGACCACCACTACATATAAATNTCTTATCTATCGTCAGTGTAGGGTATACCTGGCAAATGTATACTGAGCAGTGGCACTTCTTAAAAAAACATCAGTGTAAGGTATACCGGGCAGTGGCACTTAACCTTCAAAAGCATCAGTGTAGGGTATACCGGGCAAATATGTACCGGTCAAATGTAAATGTATGGCCCGATACTCCAAACACTGATGTTTCTTCTTATCTATCGTCAGTAAGTATTAAAATAACAAATAAATGTAATTATATCCACGAATAAATTCATATAAAATCAGATGTAATAATTATTTCGGACATTCACCAAAACGACTATGTGATTGTCAACATTCACCGGTGAAAAACAACAACCACCGATTTCGCTCATTCACCGTAAAATCTATATTACAAAAAAAATGTGTTTTAAAGCCGTCGTGGTAAGGGCGAATAGGAATTTTTTATATTAGCGTATTTTTAAATGAATTTCAGCTGTGTGAAACCTGCGAGAAATTAGATTAAATTTCAGGAGAATGAGATATTTAAAAAATCGATTTCTCAGGAGCTATTCGACCGATTTTGCACAAATTTTATACTTTGCCATGTAAAATTATATTCTTTAAAATAATGCGAAAAATTGTGTACCGTACCATTCAAAATTTTTTTCAGTATTATTAAGTAAAATAATGATAAACAATAAATATTTACTGAAAATTATTTTTTGAATTAAATTACCTTTGCACGAGCGAATTTTTTAATTGTATACTAAAATTTTTCAATAAGCTAAAAAAAATTTCGGGATATAGTGAAATACATAAAATGTAAAATTAATATTCAGGGGTTCAAACTTTGATCTCTCCTGAACAAACTAATCTGAAAATAAATTTCCCAGATTGTGGTAACTCCCTATATTTTGGGAGTACGCGTTTTCAGAGAATTATGCTGATTACGCCTGCTCTTTAGTACTAAACAATCACTGTCATCTTTTATGTTGAAATTACATTTAGGAGTTGCGATCTTTCTTTGTTCTGCCAACTAACACTGCAGCCTAATACAGTATAATGATAATCGCATGGTATGCGATGTCGTAGTTCCGCGTACGCACTCATACTTTCAATCGTTCTTACTTTCATCGCTTTAAGAACTCATATTTTATATTTCAAATCGTTCCATTTCGATAAAATTAGTTAAAATATTTTTAATAATTCCAAAGCTTCTGATGATTTTTAAAAGCAGGTAAGATGTTAAATTTTCAAGAAAAAAAAGGTTAAATCAAAGTCATATCGCCCGTAAATTTGACATATCCGACTCACAAATTTAGCCCATAGTGACCAAATATTTGCAGTAAAATTCAATTATTATCATTTTTTTAGAAAAATATCTATGACTGTTTTGAAATTTTCCCCTTTCTACCACTAAGAATGTTGCTTTAAGTATTGCTTTCAAAGCTGCTGTGCTAGATTTTAAAGAACTAAATATTTTTGCCCTTTTTCTAGCTTTAATTTAATGAGACCCTTAGAGGTATAATAAAATTCATCAAAAATGCTTTAACATTTTTTTTGTTTAATCTGATGATTAATTTTTTGGGTGACAACTTGGGTTACTTTGCCCATAATCTTCAAAAAGATTTGGGCAGACAACAACAGCCTACATAGTAGCAGTACTTACTCAACAAGTTATTAAGTATTAGGGTGAGTTGATTAGTAGAGTGTGATAAAAGCGTCAATAATTTCACAAATTTCAGTGAATATATATCATACTATTGTGCCATTGGAAGGAATTTCTCATTAACTATATAACTTTTTGTTTCCTCCAAAGTTCATAGAAAAGCCTCTTTATCTTATTTTTTAAAATTATTATGTTAGCTTCGTAAAATATTCAGAATCTCAAAAACTGAAGTGTAGCTCTATGTTTGTCAATGGTAAAATTTCATTGTATTTGCAAATGCAAACGAGGAATGCTAATGACTTGTCCTACGAAACTATTCATTTACTTTCCCATTTCAGTTTCAAAACTGTTTTCAGACTTGTTAACAAAATTATATTTTAGTCCATAAAGATCACGTTAGTAATGGCGCTAAATGCACGGTTTTTTCTTCTTCTCAAAATGTAAACTAACTCTACATTTGAAATAAATTAAAGGGCTTAATGTGGGACAGTGATAAACTATGCATCTCTGTTCTTGCCAGAACACTGTTGCACAAATGTTCCAATTCAGTGTACTTTCGTATCTAAAAAAAATTTTAAAAATGTGATAGAAAATATCTTTTTGTAACATTTTTCTAATGAGCTAAAAATAATTTTTTTTAACCTTTTTGAAAAGTTTTACCTCTAAAACAAATAAACCAACACAAGTTTTTTTTATTTTTATTTTTTGTATTAATATTTTAAAAAACAAAAGCAGTTTGAGAAAGAGGAAATTTTTTGTTGTTGTAATATTATTCCAAACATTTAAAAAAACATAAGAGAGTGAAAAGGAATTTATATAAAATTAAGAATGGATATAATTGAAAATTGAAGTAAAGATAGAGCATAAGTTTTTAATGTGAGCTCTGGATCCATGTTATTCAATTCTATTTTTATTTAGATTCCAATTTTTAATTTATCTTCAGCTTATTTATCTTATAAATTTTTCTTGAATAAATTGTGTACCATCTATATTCTTTTTAAATTGTGCGTTTTTATTCTTAAGTGGAATTCACTAAATTATTTATTAAATCTCGCACATTGCAATGTTAACTAGATATAACTCAACACATGTTTTGAAAAAGGATTTATCCACATCAAATATATGATTAGTTGTAGAAATATCTATTTGTATTTAAATGAATAGTATAACGTAGTATAGTTATAGTTATAGATGTTTCTGTTACGAATTAATTCTTTTTGGCGGCGTCAATTCGTCGCCAATCAAATTATATTTTTTTTGTCAGTTGTTCTCGATGCACTCATGCCTGAAGGAGCATTTCTTGAAAGCTCCTATTTCTTATNAGTCATATCAATGATTATCTGTTAGTCATATCAGTGAAAGTCATGCAAACCACGTAAATAACAGAGAAATATAACATTTACATAATATGTATGTATTTGCTTAAGGAGATAATGTAAATATTTATTAAATTGAGTTTATTGGAAAAGTCAAACAGATTAAAATAACAAAAACAATTTTGATCAAATCACCTAAAGGGGTAACAGAAAAAAACAGAACTAAATAACTTTTTTAAAATTTAAAAAGAATATCGTTCTAGCTTCAATAATTTTTTTAACAGCACTGAATTTATCTCTGTTTGCCATGGAAGGAAGTGTCACTCATTTTGTTGCCTGGTGAACACCTTTTGACAAAAGTAATGGAGGCGGGCAACATAAAACAACGCCACAGATATCCGTTCATAGGGTGGCCACATTCATACATCCAACACAACACATGACTACACACACAGATAAACGTCCATGCCTTGAGCGGGATACGGACCGGCAGCCATTGGTTTCACAATCAGGCAGGCTAACCACTCGGCCCCCTGGCCAGCTCCAGCAATAAAAGACATCAAAAGATAATCATTTGTAAAATTTTAATTATTCAAGAATTGCGGTTTATTCAATCATTTAAACTGATATAACTGAATTTTTTTTTCAGTAGTATGTGTTTTGTTAAACGCAAGTAAATAAATTTACAACTTTACTTACATTTTTTGATAAATCTGTGATGTTGCAGGATCCAACAATACGATTGCGACTCTTACCAGACATTATTGCTCAAAATGAAGTATATTATAAATGAATTATATTACATCTAAGAAATTAAGTCATTAGAAAATCATTTTATATGCTAAAATAGTATCGTGCTATAAAATTGCAATTTCAGAATTATAAGAATCGATACAACTTTTAGAGAAGACGGGAAAAAAGCAATTTACTAAGGATATAACCGGCGTGATGGATTTTTTAAAAGTGTAGGTGAAATCATCCAGCAAAAAAAAGGCATGCCTTTATTGTGGCTTTTCTCAGAGGCTTGCTAGATTGCTGGTATGTTAACATGAAGAGAAAATATTGATTATTAAGAACACTTCAATTATGAGATCACGCAAATGATGTTTATTCATTAATTGAGGTTGCTTTATATTTCACTAATAAGTGCATTAGATGTTTTAAAGAAGTTCAGTAGCATTCTGATCTAAAAATGTTATCACCAATCAACAAATTATATTTGATAACATATTTCTATTTAAACTGTTAAAAGATGTTATACTTGAATATTTCAAAATTGAATTGTTACATTCTGAGATTTATAAACGACATCATATGTACATCTGGCATCTACGAGTGTTTTTGGGAATCGTTTTTTCATCGTTGTAGCAATAATGATAGTGGGTGGCATTAAGAGCAAATATAATCTTAATCTAATAGTTAAAAATGAATAGTTTTATGGTTAACACTAGTATCTCCCGCAATTGTTAACTTAAGTTGAAACCTGCATGGAGTTTTTTTGATTCAAACAGAATTTTATTTTAAGTAGTTCTTTCTCTTGATGCTATTTGTCACTCTTCTGAATTTGTCTCTCGAAATTTAGAATATTCTGTTTATAATTTTTACACATTGATTGAATTAAATAAATATTTAAAATACGACTTTTTTGAAATTTGATTTCTCAGGAGCCATTCAACTGATTTCGCTCATTTTTTTTTTATTTTTCCAAGTTAAATTATATTCCTTGAAATTATATTAAAAAAATTTTATCTTACAATTCAATTTTTTTTTCATAAGTATTAAATGAAATAATAAAAAATTATAAGTATTTAGTAAAAAAACTTTTTCGTATGAAATTATCTTTTGACAAATGAATTCGATAATTGTGAGCAAAATGAACAAGAACTGTGAAGATCCGATCATTCGATCAAAAGTTTTTCAGAGTGAGCCATTTTTTATTTATCATGTTGTACAAGTACGTAATACGAGAAAAGAAAACAATTGCACAGCAATAGTAGGGGTTGGTATAAGCTAAGCAATCAGGAGCAGAATTCTCCAGTTAGACATGTATTTCTCTTGCATATTGTTTCCTGGGAAACAAAAGTACTGAAACATAAGAAAATGTACAGAATTTCATACTACCACTCTGACCAGTTCAGTTAGAAGGCAATGATTTTTTTTGATGGTATTAGGCTGGCCATATTTAAAAAATTTAGAGAGCATTCTTTGTAATACAATTAAATATCACTTAAAATAACATTTAAACTCACAAATGGTAAAATTTTATTAAAACTTTTACGCACTTTGCTATAATGCACCTTCAGCAGTAGGATAAATGTTAGCAACAAAATTTTCTATCTAAATTGTCGTATATATGGACATATCCCTGATGTACTGTGAATCATGCAATCGATTCATTGTGTATGTACAATGAATCCTGATGTACAATGAATCATGCAATCGATTTATGTCGCAATCATATGTGTCTATTTTTAAAGCAAGAAAAATTAATTTTTGAAAAATATATTTATAATTTTTACTTAGTTACCTATTTTGTGCTTTTTTTTATTTTAACTGTGAAAAATTTCGAACTGGACAGATTTTCAAAATTAGAATGNAATTTTTTTTCATAAGTATTAAATGAAATAATAAAAAATTATAAGTATTTATTAAAAAAACTTTTTCGTATGAAATTATCTTTTGACAAATGAATTCGATAATTGTGAGCAAAATGAACAAGAACGGTGAAGATCCGATCATTCGATCAAAAGTTTTTCAGAGTGAGCCATTTTTTTATTTATCATGCTGTACAAGTACGTAATACGAGAAAAGAAAACAATTGCGCAGCAATAGTAGGGGTTGGTATAAGCTAAGCAATCAGGAGCAGAATTCTCAAGTTAGACATGTATTTCTCTTGCATATTGTTTTCTGGGAAACAAAAGTACTAAAATATAAGAAACTGTACGGAATTTCATACTGACACTCTGCCCAGTGCAGTTAGAAGGCAATGGTTTTTTTGGATGGTATTAGGCTGGCCATACTTAAATTTAGAGAGCATTCTTTGTAATACAATTAAATATCACTTAAAATAACATTTAAACTCACAAATGGTAAAATTTTATTAAAACTTTTACGCACTTTGCGATAATGCACCTTCAGCAGTAAGATAAATGTTAACAACAAAATTTTCAAATTTCAAACCTATCTAAATTGTCGTATATATGGACATATCCCTGATGTACTGTGAATCATGCAATCGATTCATTGTGTATGTACAATGAATCCTGATGTACAATGAATCATGCAATCGATTTATGTCGCAATCATATGTGTCTATTTTTAAAGCAAGAAAAATTAATTTTTGAAAAATATATTTATAATTTTTACTTAGTTACCTATTTTGTGCTTTTTTTAATTTTAACTGTGAAAAATTTCGAACTGAACAGATTTTCAAAATTAGAATGTCTTAAAATTTGGACAACACTTAAGTATTTATAATATACCTATAATTTAACAAACTTTATTAAGCCTTTTAACAATAACCAATGTTCATCCAAAATAGTATCAAATTTATGAACTTAGGCTCATCTTTTCCCAATACCCACAACGGGCTTCCAATACCAGCTGGGCTGACATTAAGTCAATTCAGGTGTATTACGGCAGATTTGTTAGTCACTCTTCCGAAGACACCAAATTAGGTGGGCCACCGTTGCTCCCACAGTAAGGACAGTTAATTCAGAGACGAAAAGAACATCCATGCCCTGTCCGTGAGACGGAACCTTTCAGATGCAAGGCCAGTATCCTGACCCCTACGCAGTCTGATCGGCAACTTAGAATCACTAAAATACTAATTTCTTTACGGAGAATGTAAAACTTTTTACACTTGCTCTTAAAGAGATCATAAAAAGTTTATGACCCAAATTGCATTTGATTGTGATATTTATTGGTAGAAATCGAATTTCTAGTTGTATGCATGTGTATTTCATTTTAAATTATATATCCTTTAGAGAACCAGAAAAACTCACAAACGTTAAAAAAAATATTTAAAAAAAAATACAAAAAGTAAAAAAAAGAAGTACAATTTGCTTTGTAATGAAAAATACTTGATCAACTTTTTTTTAATTGTAAACAAGATTCAAGATGAAGGCTTAAAAAGTCAGTGATATCAAAGAATACCAATTTCAGAATAAAGTTATTAGTCAACAGATCCCGTAATGTAATTACGATTCGTTGTTCTCTCACTTAGATATATTTGCTATTTTAGTTGTTTAAAATTTAAGTTCCACTTCCATAAAAATTTCACTCTATGAGGACGATACACATCTAAATTCTCCATAGCACAAAACCTTTAACTTCATAAAAACAAATATTGACCAAATAAATACCTTACCCCAAAACAAAATTTTCGGAATTTAAGAAAAAAAAAATTCGCAATGAGGATTCCGTATCAATCATTCACAGAGAGATAAGTAATTTCAAGAATCTGGAGTGGTAAGATATTACCAGATTGAAAATTTCATTCGCTTCGAAGACATACTATGAAAACATGTGTATACCCAAGTCAAAATTCTTGATGGTACCATCAAAGAATTATGATGGTTTATGTTGGTTTAAGTACGATTCTTGATGGTCCAACATATGTTGATGCTCACCATCATACAACAATTTCCATCCAGTTTTGATGGCCCATCAAATTTCCATCATTACAAAATGGAAAATGTTGCTTTATGTTATGATGGTAATTCATCAAGCAATGTTTGATTTTTGATGGACCAACATAAACCTTCATATTTTGATGGCAGATGTTGTTTTACCATTATGATGGTCAACCAACAAGTTATTTTATTTTAATGTTGGACAAACAATAACCATTAAAATATGATAGAAGATGTTGTATGGCTATTTTGATGGTCCACCAACAAGATGTGTTTATTAATGTTGGACCAACAACAACCATTAAAATATGATGGAGGATATTGTTTTACTATTATAATGGTTCAACCATTAAGTAATCTTTTATATTGCTGGGCCAACAGCAATCATCGCATTAAGATGGAACATGTTGTTTTAGTACTAGGATGGTTCAACCATCATGTGATGTTTGTTGTAGTTGGACCAATTTCAACCATCAAAATAAGTTGGAAGATGTTGCTTACCTTTATTATGGTCAACTAGCAAGTTATGTTTTTATTATTGGATCAACAACAACTAACAAAATATAATGGAAGATGCTGTGTGGCTATTTTGATGGTCCACCAACAAGATGTGTTGATTAATGTTGTCTATCTATAGATAGGTGTTTTAAGTGCTTCAAAAATAGGGGCCCATTAATATTCTTATTTTTGAAGCACTTGAAAAAAATAGTTGGCATGTTTCAAGCTCTTCAAAAACAAGAATATATGAATTAATCAACGCATATTATTGAAGCGCTTGAAATGAGTCGACTGTTTTTTGATATTTTTTATGTGAATAAAATTTTCAATCAGGTTATATCCCTACAACTATTTCAGAGAGATGTTCTTAAGGTTCGCGAACCTTAATCTGAATTTGTTTGACAACTTAATTGTAAATTTTGAAAATTCTATGTTTTTGAATGTGCTTTTATACAAACTATAAACATTGAAACAGATGTTGATTTATATAATAAAAGAAATATTTAATTCGTTTCTTGAAATTTTGTAATTATCAAAGGGTTTAAATTTAACTTAATTAAATTTCTTAATTAAAGCCTCTAATTGAATAAATTTTTGCTCACGTAGCTTCTTCAAATGCTTAGAAAACTAAATCTACGCGAATATAGTTTCGTACCATTTGAATCATAAAAGAGAATACGAGGTTGACATTTCACTGCATATT